GGTAAGCATGGACGGGAAGGCTATTCCACACAAAGGAAACCTCATGCCACAAAGCACTGAGGCTTGAAAAATCATGATCATTGATATCTAAAGAGCAGCCATTTCAAGTGTCAAATGAAGGAGTAGCCAGAGAAGAAATCTGAGAGGTAGTCTGCAGTCAGATTATAAGAGACTTGTATGTTTTGTTGAGATGCTTTGACTGTATTCAATGTGTGCTTGGAGAATCTTTAAAGGGTTTTAAGTAGGAGAGTACTGGAAGTTTTTTAGAAAATATATTAGTATCATTTTTTTTTCTGCCTCAGTACCATACTGAACAGCAAGTGCTGAACATAATTGAATCTTTTACTGATAACTGAAGATCTTTCAGTGATCTTCTAAATGAATATTAGTTCTCATTTTATAAAAGAAGACATTGAAGTATAGAATGTATAGGACTTCCTCCTCTATAAAGATCTAGGAAATATTTTTTGAAGTTTCTTTATAAAACAGATTACTATGAACAGATTTTGTTTTAATTTGTCTTATTCTTGTTAATATTAATAAAGGGCTGGGGAAAGAGATTTTGGTGGACAGCTTTTAGTGACTGGGTTTTTTCTTAATTTTACTATGGAAAATCACTGATTAATAGATGGTATCTACCTACATGCTGGGTGAGGGATAAAATTGTGCCACTTACAGATAGAGTTTGGAAATTCATTATACTCTCTGGAGAATGGAGATACATTCATCAATTCCCCCTATTGTTTACTGAACACATAATAATTCCTATATGAATGTTGGTGAACTGAAAAGAATTTGCAATACACATGGTAACATAATTTTCCTGAGGAAAACTAAGTTACTGGCTTAACTGGTAGTTCTTTGATATGGCTTACCTTTATATATTAACAAAGGGAGAATAAGAGATCATAATGCGTGAAATTTCACCTTTCCGAAACTTCACCATGTCTGACTCTTTGTCACACCATGGACTGTAGCCCACCAGGCTCTTTTGTCCATGGAATTCTCGAGGCAAGAATACTGGAATGGGTTGCCATTTCCTTCTCCAGGGGATCTTCCTGACTCAGGGACTGAACCCTGGTCTCCCACATTGCCGGAAGTCTCTTTACTGACTGAGTCCCCAGGGGATCCCTATAAAAGTTTTTAACAAAGATCTATATACAAGGATGTTGAAAAGCTTTGGTCATACTGGCATAAATTGGGGGAATATTTTTTATGGCTGTGCTGGGTCTTCGTTGCTGCACATGGGCTTTCTCTAGTTGCTGCAAATAGGGGGCTACTTGCCAGTGGTGGTGTGGGGGCTTCTCGCCAGTTGTGGTGTGGGGGCTTCTCATTGCCACGGCTTCCTTTGTTGCCGAGCACGGGCTCTAGGCGCGCAGGCTTCAGTAGCTGCAGCACTTTGGGCTCAATAGTTGGGGCAGAAGGACATTGTTGCTCCTCGGCTGTGGAATTTCCCCAGACCAAAGACAGAAGCTGTGTCCCCTGCATTGACAGGTGGAATCTTAACCACTGGACCACCAGGGAAGTCCGGAATATTTCATTTTGAAGAATGGGGATCTGGCTTAGAGATGGGAAACAAATGTAGGAAATATAAAGTCTCTCTGAAGGGAAAAGGGCTAATTGTCAGTTTCTCCGGGGTTAGAATTGGAGCTGTGTTCAATAACACAGAACATTCTTAAGAATGACCTGCATATGCAGGCCTGTAGATTTTCTAAATTCTTCCTCAGTGTAAAATGCCAATAGCAGTATTATTACCAGTTGTCTGGGTGTATAGGCTAAAAAAGTAATAAATAAATTGTGGGCAACTCAGATTGGGAGAAAATAATAGCAAACGAAGCAACAGACAAAGGATTAATCTCAAAAATATACAAGCAACTCCTCCAGCTCAACTCCAGAAAAATAAATGACCCAATCAAAAAATGGGCCAAAGAACTAAACAGACATTTCTCCAAGGAAGACATACAGATGGCTAACAAACACATGAAAAGATGCTCAACATCACTCATTATCAGAGAAATGCAAATCAAAACCACAATGAGGTACCATTACACACCAGTCAGGATGGCTGCTATCCAAAAGTCTACAAGCAATAAATGCTGGAGAGGGTGTGGAGAAAAGGGAACCCTCTTACACTGTTGGTGGGAATGCAAATTAGTACAGCCACTATGGAAAACAGTGTGGAGATTTCTTAAAAAGCTGGAAATAGAACTGCCATATGACCCAGCAATCCCACTTCTGGGCATACACACCGAGGAAACCAGATCTGAAAGAGACACGTGCACCCCAATGTTCATCGCAGCACTGTTTATAATAGCCAGGACATGGAAGCAACCATCATGCCCATCAGCAGACGAATGGATGAGGAAGCTGTGGTACATATACACCATGGAATATTACTCAGCCATTAAAAAGAATTCATTTGAATCAGTTCTAATGAGATGGATGAAACTGGAGCCCATTATACAGAGCGAAGTAAGCCAGAAAGATAAAGACCATTACAGTATACTAACACATATATATGGAATTTAGAAAGATGGTAACGATAACCCTATATGCAAAACAGAAAAAGAGACTCAGATGTATAGAACAGACTTGTGGACTCTGGGAGAAGGCGAGGGTGGGATGTTTCAAGAGAACAGCATCGAAACACGTATATTATCTAGGGTGAAACAGATCACCAGCCCAGGTTGGGTGCATGAGACAAGTGCTCGGGCCTGGTGCACTGGGAAGACCCAGAGGGATCGGGTGGAGAGGGAGGTGGGAGGGGGGACCGGGATGGGGAATACATGTAAATCCATGGCTAATTCATTTCAATGTATGACAAAACCCACTGCAATGATGTAAAGTAATTAGCCTCCAACTAATAAAAATAAATGAAAAGAAAAAAAAAATTGTGGGCAAGTGTGAAATAGAGAAAAAACAATATAAATTACATTTGTTAGGTGATGATCTCAACATGGTTGGTTAGGTGTAAGGAAAAGAATCCAGAGGTTACTGTAGACTGCTTTCTAGAGTTATGAGCCCAATGTGCTATTGTAACAAAATATTCTTGGCCTCAAAAAGCAAGAGATTTACAAAGAACTTGAAAACTTAACATGGATCTTGATTTTTAAAAAATACCTGTGAAGGCCATATAAATATAATCCAGGTTATTTCCTTGTCTCTTGCCCCTAAACCACCCACAACGTTTCCCTTTTCTCACTCTTCCATATTTAGGGTATTTCCAGGAGATTTACCCCCTGAACTCTCCGAAAATTCATATCTACTACTGCTGTTTATCTCCCTCTTTCTGGTGTTTCCCTTTTCTCACTCTTCCATATTTAGGGTATTTCCAGGAGATTTACCCCCTGAACTCTCCGAAAATTCATATCTACTACTGCTGTTTATCTCCCTCTTTCTGGTCCTAAATCTCTTCTGGGGTACTGCCAAGCGCTGCCACTTTCTTGGCACCGCTTGTTTCCGCTGGGCTCTCACTGCAAATACACTAAACATCCTGAGGTCCAAAGTCTCTCTAAGTTCATTGGCAAAGGGAGGCAGACATTTAACTATTTTCCCCTAACATTCATAGATAGGTACCAAAGCACTTAAGTACCGAATCTTGGTAGGTGCAACCCTTCCGGTTCTTACAGTTCCCATGGGAAACTGGGGAGCTCCTAATACAGACCTTACCAGGCTGCAGAAGAATTCCTCCTCTTTCCATGCGTGAGGTTTTGCTGCAGGGTTAAGCTTCTGGTGCCAGACTCCCCCAGTTCTCTCAAGGAATAACCTTCTGGTGCCCAACTGGGCTCAACTCAGGTTCCCCCTACACAGTTCTAGCAAGAGGTAAGGACTTCTTCAACTTTGGAGGATGGCACGGTGGCTGGGCATCTATTCAATCTTTTCAGAAGAGTCACTTAGATCTCGTGAAAAACCCGAGATAACAGAGGACATGAATTAAACGGAGCTTTAAATAGAAGCGATTTAAACGAACGATTGTGGAACAAACAAGGGCACCTATAGGTTTTCATATACCTTTATTAAAGCTCTTTGGGGTAGCAAAATGCCAGTGGGATCAACAGTAGGAGTAGAGTGGACAGTGAGTTAAAACTTGTTGGTTACATCTCAAGAGTGAGTACTAGAAGTGCAGGTATTCTTCCTCATTCTAACCACTCCATTCAGTAGACCGAAGAATGAGATTCCGCTGGATCCCAGCTCCAGTTCCCTGATATATTAATTATCAGGAGATTTTGACATTTTCTTCTCTCCCTTTCCGTCTTTCCCCAATACAGACTACGAGTTTGTCTACGACCCTTACCAACATTTAATGGGAAAGGCGCTTTGAACTAGGTAAAGTGGGGAGGAGGACTTTGCGGTCGTGTTTCTCAAATCCGTGGAGAGACAGCAATAATAGGTAAGGGGCGTGCAGACTAACTCCTTCCTTGTCCAATCAGGTGCACAGGAAGATGTCCTTTTACCAATAAAAATAAAGTTCGCTTTCCGGAGGCGGGAGGGTAAGCCTTGACTGCCAGTTCTCCAAAGCAACGACAGAGTAGAAGACAGAGAATGATTGGAGGTAGGACCAACCCAGGAAAAGGGGCGGGGTGAAGGCGGGGGTAACTCTGAGCGGCGGCTGCACTGGCCAGTGGGGTGTGAGAACTGCTGTTCCTGTTGTAGTGTTTCTCGCCAATCAGGAAGACCAGGGAGTGGGCGGGGCGGGGAAGAGGTGGGAAGAGCTCGCAGCACCGCCGGGCGCCCGTCGGGCTCTTGGGGAGAGAGAGAGAGAGAAATCCGGTTAAAATCTGGAGTCGGAGGGAGGTTTAACCACAGATCGGTTCCGATCGGATTATTCCTTAAAGGGGACGCGCGCCATTGTCAAGAGAACGGAGCCCAGGGCCCGAGGGCGGGGACCGGCGGCGCCTGAGGAGCGAGGCAGCTGCACTTGGACTGGGGACGGGTAGGTGTTGCCTGGGGAAAGGCGCTTCATTTCACTTTCTCTTCCAGCTCCAGAGGCGGGCGCCTGGATGCCCGCCGGCCGGCGGCCACAACCCCGGCGGGAGACGAGGTCGTTGGCCCTCGCCTGCTTTCTGATGGGGGCTGAGACGGGAGGCGGGCCAGGATGGCTGGAAGCTGCGCCGCCCGGGCCAAGACCCGTAACGGACTGTAAGCCGCGCCGCAGCCCCCGTCTCAACCGAAAACTCGCCGGAGCGGCAGCTGGTCCTCGGGGAGCGCCGCGCGCTTGGCTCCCCCGCGCGCCCGGCTGCCGGTGCGCGCGCTGGTTTCTTGCGCGCCCCCTTCCCCTCGCGCGCCCAATTCTGCTCGCGCGCGCCGCGCCCTCGCGGACTCGCGGGAGCCGCCCCGCGGGGAGGAAGGCGGCGAGGCGGAGGGAGGTCGGCGGCCACCGCTCTGCCGCCCTGGCCATGAAGGCAGGGCTGGGAAGCAAACTTAGGGCGGCAGCTGGCGACCCCGGGCGCGAAGGGGCGCTGGGGACCGAGGAGAGTGCAGAGTCGCCAGCCGGGCCCAGCATTGTCCTGCTTTTCCTTTGCTCTGGTCTCTCCGCCCACTGCTCGCGGTCGTGGGGAGGGGTGCGGATGCGGGCGTCGTGCCCGCGCTGCTCCGGGCTGGCGGCGCACCCCCAGAGTCGGTGCCTGCTTGAGCCGGAGTCTGCCCCACCGACCCCGCAGCCGCCACCCGTCGGGGCCAGGGAGCATCTTTGCAGCTCTCCAGCCTTCGCACCCGCGCAGGCTGCTTGGGTGCTGAGCTCTTCTTTGTAACTTTTCTTTGCCTATTGATGGAAGTTATGGCTTCCGGGCGGCAGGTTCTTTGGGCAAAACATCGTTTCCTGCGTTTTGGAAAGGCTCACTTCTAGGACGAAGTGGTTCTTGATCACTGTCGGACTTTTCTTCCCATCCCAGTTTCATTCCTGGCACCTAAAATAGTTTCTTTTGTGGATTTGCATTGTAAGGGAGCTTTAACCTCTCTTAGGTCAAGATAATTTGAAAAGAAAAAAAAGGGAGGGGTGCTGATGAGGAGCAAGAGCTCTTTGTAGAGAGAATTTGCCTTCACCTTTGAACTGTGGCAAGTGTTACCGCGACTGACTGGCGGAGATTCTTGTGGAAGGAAAAAGAAATATTGCAAAACAAAACAAAAAATTTCAGATTGCTAGGGTCTATAGGATTAGGCGGAAAAAATAGAATTTTGATAGAAATAAAGTTAGTTTAACTATTTTGCCGAGCAGATACCTTCCGTAAAGTTAGTTTCTGCTACTGAACCCATAGAGATTATAGTTAGTAACAGCAGCTTGTACTATTGATAAACGTAAGATAAATTTTCCTCCTCCATCTTAAGCATTAGTGCTATTATATACTTGTAAATTCCTGGAGAAGGGAATGGCAACCCACTCCAGTATTCTTGCCTGGAGAATTCCACGGATAGAGGAGCCTTATAGGCTCCAGTCCATGGGGTCGCCAAGAATCGGACACGACTGAGCGACTAATACACATACCTGTCAATACTTGCTAAAGAAGTTACATTTAGAAACAGTACATCCTTGTTAGAAACCTAATTTAGAAAAGGAATATTTTCATGAGCGTTCATTTTTGACAGTTTCTTCTTGTGCAATACTTTGTAGAGTACTTGCATGTGCAAGTTACAAGCCTATAAACAAAGTTGCGGTGGGTGTGTTATTATGTAGTCTCTTTTTGGCTACTCATTATCAAAGATAGCATTCCATCCTGTCTTTTCTTCCATTCTGAGTTATTTTGTAAAACCGCTTCTTTAGAAGACTGAATTTATTGGAACCTCTGGCCCAGTGATTGGTGTGTGTCTGTGTGTGTGTGTTTAAGCAATATAACAACTTTCCGAAGTGTTCATTAACTGTTTAGTAACTTTATGAGTGGTGTGAAGCATTATAACATAACTTCACAGGCTCAGCAATAACAACAGAGAAACTTTACTTGGGAAACTAAAAGTCAATTTCAGAGAATAATGTTTGAGAGATGCTTTACTCTTCCTATAGAATTTTGAAAGTGTAGACATAAAAACACATGATCTTTCCTAGTAATCTTGATGGTATCTGGCATTGTACACATAATGCTCCCCTTTCTTCTCCTTTCCTTTGATAAGTATGTCAGGCAAGCTTGCTAGCATAATCTTCCTTTCCATCTCATAATAGAAAGTAGAAGATTAAAGCAAGTTTCCAAAATTTTATTTTTGTTCACTTACCAGCTTATTTAAACAATAAAGGAGAGAATTGTGGAACTTTTAAAAGATCACATATAAAGAAAGCACTCAGAATTACCTTTGAAATATCTAGGTTGTGTTTCCTGGAGAACATATTTTTCCTGTGTGCTTTTCACATTGTTTTACACACATTGTCTTAAATATACACATTGCCAAGGCTTTTCTTGAATTGTGAAGTGTCCCTTGAGATCCCTGGGAACTAGAACTGTCCTCTATTTCTGTGCAGATTCACTCTGTCACCTAATACATTTCTAGTGCCCAGTAAATGGATTTGTTTACTAAGGTCTTTGTGACAGAAAAAGATAATGTTCTGTAAATGCTACTTGACAGGCTTATTTTTTTTTTAAAAAAAACACCTTTCTGAACAAGTTACACCAAAGACCAGCAGTTGGTTTAGTGTCTAGGGGAAGGTATATTAATCTAGTTGCTTTTTGTTCTGTGTACAAAAGTGTGACTTAGTTGTTAATAGTATTTGATCCGCAGACATCTGTCGTGATGGTGATTGTTTGTTGTCCCAATTATTAGAACTAGGTTTAATCTGTCAGCATCTGTTGAGTATCCATTTATTTGAGGAGTATTATGGAAACATCAAGTAGAAATGGATGACAATCATAACTCTCAAAGTTATGGAGATTAATGGGGAAGATGCAAAATTATCATCCATTGGGAAAAGATAATGTGTATCGCATTGCAGTAACAGGTGCATAGTAACAGGGACACAGGATTCATGCCAAAATGGTAAAGGGATAGTGGAATTGTTAAAAACTTAGGTGATGTAGGAAAGTTTTCATGGTTTTATGTAGCAAATCTTATATTTTTTAAAAATAAAAAATAAAATAAGTTTGGGGTGTATGTTCACTACTTGAACTATTTTTAATATGTAAAATATTGGTTGGGGGGCAGAGCATGTACTCTGAATTTCAGTTATTGTTACTTCATCAGTGGGATCCTCCCTCTAACCCAGCTCATGTTACCTTGTCTGCAAGCTGTCTTGTTCTAATCCCGTGATGGTTCTTTTCTCTTGCTCCTGTAAAGTCCTTTTCAGCTCAAGCCATGCTTTGCTTATATGTGTATTTCTGCATTAGATTTTGAACTTTGGTAAAAAGCATTAACAAAAGTTGGAACTTTCCCTCCCCACTCCCATCCCAGCCCCTTTTACTATTGTCTAAAGTGCTTGAGCAGTTTTATTAGCCCCAAAGCTTCTGTAAAACCATAAAAAAAAAATTTCATATTGTTTTATTTGGGGAAAGTGTATATGTGTGTTTAAAGGAAAAACCAGTTTTTTCCTTATCACCAGTTTCACATGCTCATTGTAAAATATTGTTATAAAAAAATGTGTAATTTAGAAACTAAATATCCCCCATGAAATTGCCTTCATCACATTATAGCTATTGATCATGGTTTGGCTTTTAATTCCAGTTTTTTCCCCTTCTTTTTTTTATTACTTTCAAATAGGAATGCCTTAAGCTGTCTTACTTGAAAATTTTAATTAGTAAGTTACATTTACTGGAATGGAGAAAGGTAATCAATTTTATACACTTATTTATTTTTTATTTTATATAATGAAATGATTATTAATTTCTTCAGCTTTGGTAATTATATTTATTTTTACCTGTTCTTAAGAAACAAAGCTTCCACCAGTATTTTTGTGTTCAAAACAAAGTCTATGATTGTAGACTGTAAGAATCACAATCATTTCAAAAATGGTCAAAATATGTGTCCCTGAACATTTTAAGTGTCTTTACCCTAAAATGTTTTTGGAGTACATACTGTAAGCCCAATTTCTTCTCATGTCTTGATTCTTCTCATCTCTAGAGAGCCTTAAAAATTGCTCTGAGGCTGCCAACTGGCACATCTTGTTGTAGCCCCAGAAGGAATGCAGGAACGTATTTGTTCCTGATCGGTTCACATGCAGAGGTGTTACTCTGCCCTTAATGTTGCTCATTATAAAAAGGGAGCTACATCTTAGCCTGATGAAGAAGGTGATAAGATTCTGTTGTTCTGGGTGCTTCTTTAAGCCAGCCCAGAAAGGAAAAATGTTTTCCAAAAGTTCCTAAATAGAAAGCCCAGCTGCAAGCAGCCAGTAGGGCTAATCAGGCAAGAAATCTCTTTTTATTCAGCAAGTTTTTATTGAGAACTGCTCCCTAATCTGTGTACCATGTAGGCACTGAGGATAGGATGATGAAATTTGTCTTCACCACGAGTTCCTCTGAGTAGGATCCTTAAATAGACAGAGTGGTACATGTGGATGAAAAATAGTGTGCTCAAAGTGCACTCTTAGGTGTGTTGTTCAGCCTTGTTTATCATTTTGTATAGTTTCTTTAAAAGTATCCTAGCAGACAGACCTGGTATTCCGTAGGAGGTGGGTGGGGATCCATGGAGCCTGTGAAAATAAATATATGAGTTCTAAATTTTTTTTTTTTAATTTCAAACACTGTTATTGCCATGAGGCAGAATATTTGTGAAATTATGCAAATGTTGATGTATCTTTCCTTATACCCTCCAGGGATCATACATTTCATAGACCCCAAAATGATACTACATCTCTATCCTAGTAGGTGATTCCTAGTTTGCTGATAGAGTAGTAACACATTCTTTAAAACTCAACAGTTCAGTCGCTCAGTCGTGTCCGACTCTTTTCGACCCCATGGACTGCAGCATGCCAGGCCTCCCTGTCCATCACCAACTCCCAGAGTTTACTCAGACTCAGGTCCATTGAGTTGTTGATGCCATCCAACCATCTCATCCTCTTGTCCCCTTCTCCTCCTGCCCTCAATCTTTCCCAGCATCAGGGTCTTTTCAAATGAGTCAGTTCTTTGCATCAGGTGGCCAAAGTTTTGGAGTTTCAGCTTCAGCATCAGTCCTTACAATGAATATTCAGGACTGATTTCCTTTAGGATGGAATGGTTGGATCCCCTTTCAGTTCAAGGGACTCTCAAGAGTCTTCTCCAACATCACAGTTCAAAAGCATCAATTCTTCAGTGCTCAGCTTTCTTTATAGTCCAATTCTCACATCCATACATGACTACTGGAAAAACCATAGCTTTGACTAGACAGACCTTTGTTGGCAAAGTAATGTCTCTGCTTTTTAATATGCTGTCTAGGTTGGTCATAACTTTCCTTCCAAGGAGTAAGTGTCTTTTAATTTCATGGCTGCAATCACCATCTGCAGTGATTTTGGAGCCCCCCCAAAATAAAATCTGTCACTGTTTTCCACTGTTTCCCCATCTATTTGCCGTGAGGTGATGGGACCAGATGTGATGATCTTAGTTTAAATTCATAATGCTACAATAAATAGATGTCTTTATCAGTATTTTTTTTTGTATGGCATGAAAATAATTGCTTTGAAAAATCACTTGTATTAAAATACAGTGTGAAGTATTTCTTGCTTTTACAAAATGGACTGCCTCCTTCCCTCTCCAACCTGTTCTATTGCTTGATCTTTGTATTTGTAGAGAAAGAATTGGTTAAGAAAGTGGCCTTGTAGGACTGTCAGTGATTGGAGTTAGCTAGGTAAGAGAGAGGTAGACGG